AGTAGCTCCAGTGATACGGTAGCAACGACGGTCGACCGTCACCTGAAAACGGTCGACCGTTCCGAAGACAGTCAGCTACGAAAAATTTATTTTTGAGTTCTAAAATCCCATTTTTGATACCAATTAATTATGGACAATATAAATATGATTTTTGTACAACAAAAATGATGTTTTGACATATAAAACATTATATGATGCATGACGGTAAGTTCGGGTGTTAACACTCGATACTAGGCCGCTGTTTGTTATTAGATATTATGATGATTGTTTGATTATTGATTATGATGATTTAATATCCTGAATGACAATCATGAACTATTAAATTGAGAATAATGAATTAATGAATCGTATTGTTAAGGCTACTTAGAAGACCTCTAAGATAGACCTCTGATTAGAATGGGCCTTGCGGGTATGAATATGTATATTCGGTGGCCTTGGGTAAAAACGTACGTACGGGATCCATAAACCAAACTAGAGGAACTCGTTTGGGGATACCACCCAACCCGACAGTTAGTATTCTACTGTTCGGTTTCCTGGATTTGTACCTTAAGCGAAGGCTAGTTTAAGAGTTGGTAAATAAATTGGAATATGTACCTTAAACTAATGACCTAGCTTAAGAGTTGGTTAGAAGTACCTTGAACTAGTAATAGTTTAAGAGTTGGTAATCATCAAAGGATTGGCCTTGGACTAAGCTTAGTTAAGGATATTGTTAAATATTGAATATGAATGTTGAATATTGAAATATTGAAAATGTCATGAATGAATTATATATTGTGTGCATGATATCAAATGGTTGTTTGTGAATTGAGATTCAATTTATGTGGATGTTCGACGCTTTAGATATGCTTACTCAGCTTCATCGCTGAGCGTGTAGTATGTTTTATTTGCTACACGCAGGTAGACAGAATGAATGATTGGCTGGCAGCAGAAGGGGCGAGATTATCGTGGTGGAATTTGTGATTTTAAAATAAATAATTATGTTGTTATTAAACATGGTTTAAATTGCTTCCGCATTATTGTGAAACATTCTATATTTTGCTACAGTTAAGTATTAAACAATATTTATGATGAATAAAAGTATTTGAAATGTTTTAAATGTTACGATTACCAAGTTAATACTTTAGTCCGAAAGGGGCTGCAGACCTGAACGGATTAGGGTGTTACAATTTGGTATCAGAGCAAATGGTTTTAAAACCGATCTTCGGATCAAAAGTTTGTTTAAAAAAAAATTATACATATATAATATATACATATATATATATATATATATATATATATATATATATATATATATATATATATATATATATATATATATATATTCGGCAAAAAAAAATGATGTCAATCAAATCCACGACTCTCGCATCCCTCTGCTCCAGGAAGGTAATAAAAATTAAGTATTGAATTTGACTGTATTAAATCTTTATAGATGTCAACTGTTAATTCGGAAATGATATCAAGTGTTGATTCAAGTCGCACTTTTGTACTTGGTAAAAGACGAAAGAACAAACGAAATGTCTATGCCTCGTTGATACGATACCAACGTGCACATCGCTTTGCGAGAATAATGAAACGAAGGATTTATCTACGCCGCAAGGCTGCATGGGAACGTGATGACCCGGAAGAGACGTTCAGCGTAGACTCTGCAAACAGCGTGTGCGGATCAGGCGTGGGAGAACCAGCTGTAGATTCGTCACGATCCAACCAATCGAACGCAAACGTTTAGAAATTTTCTTGTTAATCGTTTCAAATCCATTGATTGTATCGACTGTTGTAATCCTTTGCAATTCCTGCCTTAAACTCAACTATTGAATAAAAGAATCCTAATAAAGGAATTTCTGTTATTGTAGAATGAGTCAAGAGTCTGCCCACGGACAAGGCAACAACAATGAGCACGTCAGTGTTCACACTGAAGCATCTAGTTTCACCCCTCCCATCCAAAATGAACCTGTCAATCAACAAAATGTTGGGAATAACCCAAACGCTGGTGGTCAACCCGACCTTGTGATCAGCTTAGAGGATCTACTGTATTCTCTAAGATTGACTTACGGTCAGGATACCATCAAATCCCAGTAAAGAAAGAGGACATCCCGAAGACTGCGTTCCGTACTCGTTATGGTCATTACGAGTTTACAGTAATGCCCTTTGGTTTGACTAATGCTCCTGCAGTATTCATGGATCTCATGAATAGTGTATTCTGACCTTATCTTGATCAATTCGTGGTTGTATTCATCGATGATATTCTTGTCTATTCGAAGAATCGAGAAGATCATGCAAAACATTTGGAGATAGTACTCAAGGTACTACGAGAACATAAACTATATGCCAAACTGTCAAAGTGTGAATTCTGGCTTGATGAAGTTACGTTTTTGGGGCATGTGATTTCTAAAGAAGGTGTTAAAGTGGATCCCAGTAAAATATCTGCCATCACCGAATGGAAGGTTCCTAGGAATGTTCGTGAAGTGAGAAGCTTTCTAGGATTAGCTGGATACTATCGACGATTTGTTGAAGGCTTTTCCTCGATCGCAACTCCACTTAACAAACTTCTCAGAAAGAATGTGAAATTCGTATGGACCGATGCATGTCAGCAAAGCTTTGAGAAACTAAAGAAATGTTTGACAGAAGCACCTGTACTGACACAACCGGTACCAGGTGTAGACTACACAATCTTTAGTGACGCATCTCATAATGGCTTGGGATGTGTACTTATGCAAGACGGAAAGGTCGTGGCATACGCATCAAGGCAGTTAAAACCTCACGAGTGTAACTANTTGCTCATGAACGTGCTAAGAGAGATAGGCCTATAGTCGTCGAAGCGTTTAGGACTCTCCTTCTTGGGAATAAGGGTAATGAGTGTACTACCGTAGGCTCAAGGGATAGGGAACCCCAAGAAAAATTCTTGGGAGGCTTTGAGCATGTCCTCTTTGATTATATCCCAACAAGAGCGGAAGAAAAAGCCGTTGAAACCATCCGGTCCTGAGGCGCTGCTGCTGTCAAGCTCCCAAACTGCTTGCGGAACCTCCTCCATGGAAGGAAGGCTACTGAGCATGTTATTGTCAGTGTCTGTTATAACCCAAAGGGATATGTGAGAGGGGCTGAAGAGGGTTGGGGTTGGAGATGGCCTTAAACTGCTTTGTGAAGTGTGAGGTGGCTTCCCAGCATATATCTTTTTGATTGGATAGCCCTATTTCATCATCCGAGATAATATGGTTAATTGCCAGCTTCCTTCTTTTCCCATTAGCAAATGCATGAAAAACCTTGGAGTTGGAGTCCCCATTTTCAAGCCATCTTGCATTAGCTTTTTTCTTCCAAAAGGCCACTTCTTTGTGAGTAGCCAGTAACAGCATGGTGTTGGCCTCCTGGGCGTTCTCACGATTTGATTCGGTTGGGTCTTCCTCATAACGCAGTTGGGTTTGGGTTGCTTGATCCTCTGCCAAAGTTAGATTATCAAAGATATTTCCAAACTCCTTCTTGTTCCACTCCCTGAGACAACCCTTTAAATCTTTTAGTTTGGCCACTAGTCCAGGCATGCCACCACAGGTGAGACTATTATTCCAACTGTCCTTAACCACTTGGAGGAACTGGTTGTGGTGTATCCAGGCATTCAAGAATCTGAAGGAAGATGGCCCGCGGTCTTGGCTAGAGTGACAAGAGAAGAGGACAACTTTGTGATCACTACAAGCTTTGGGTAAGTGGTGAGTGAAAAAGTTAGGAAATGCTGATTGGAATGCTAGGTTAACCAGGACTCTGTCCAACCTACGCCAAGTTTTCCCATGACTCCTTGTGCCAGACCATGTAAAGAGACCACAAGTATGGTCTGGACAGAACAGGTTGCATGCTTCAATGCACGAGTTGAACTCTTCCATTCCTTGTGCACTTGGTTCAAACGTACCTTTGTATTCGGTAGGGAAAGAAATAGCATTAAAGTCACCTCCCACCACCCAGTTTTGATTAGTGTTACTCCTCCCCTGCAAGCTCTCCCAGAGATGCCTTCGTTCAACCACCGTGTGAGCCCCATAAACACAAGAGATGGTAAGGTTGGTGTTGGAGTAGTTTACCATGGAAAAGTTGCAGTGAGTTACTTGTTCTTCATCATTAGAGCTAACCAAATGAAGCATGCTAGAATCCCAAAAAATCCATCTCTTGTTATTAGCCGAAGAGAGATGGCTGCTATAACCCAATTTAAGACCGTAGGTAGAAATGTGTGAGGCCGAAACCTTAGGTTCACAAACACAGAAGAAAGCAGGGGTGTGAAACCTCTTAAGGGAAAGTAGTCTGTCAAGGGAAGAGGGCACCTCACAGACATTCCAAAAAATCAACTTCATTTGGAAACCAACGAGGATACTTTATTAGAGCTCTTACTCCTTGTCTCCATAGTATGAGGAGTATAATCTTTGGAGTTTTTGAGTTACTTTTTGAAAGGCATGGGGGTGGCGCTAGAAGAGGAAAAGTCCACCTAGAAGGGACGGAGCTGAGAGCAATCGAAAGGCATATCCCCTTCATTGCCTTCGGAGTGGCAGTACAAGGTGGAGATTTCTTCATCTTTGTAAAGGTTCCCAATATTCACGCACATTGAGGAGGCAAGGGAAGGATTGCTAACCCAGTAGTCATCTTTACTAAAAAGATTAGAGGCAAGGGAAGGAACTCCTGGAGCAGGAGAGAAGGGGACCAAGGGTAATCTGTCATCAGTGTGATGTGGGGGCAGTGGGACTAAATTGTGCTTATGGGAAGGAGATGGTGTGGAAAGGGCCTCATCATAATTTACATCTTCAATTCAAAGAGCTATGAAAAACAGGGGGGAGGGGAGAGGCACACCGTTTTTACCCTGGTTCACCACAACTCGTGGCTAGTCCAGCCTCTCGAGAGACTCTCTCGAGCTACACTACCAACGTTAAGCTTAACGGTGCTTAACAAACCTGTACAACTTGAGAGATCGAGTCACACGAACCTCAACGAACCTTTGAAGGAAACAACCCTTCCTTCGAACAACAAGAGAAATATTTTCTCTTGTCAAGTGTCTAAGAACACTAAATCACTCAAGAACAAAACTCTCTTTTAGAGTGGATAATGAGTAACTAAGAACCCTCAAGAACACAACACAACCTTCACAAAAATGGCTCTCGAAAAGCTATGATTAATATATGAATTGTATGCAATGAAAGAATAATAGTTGTGAAGTAATGTGATATGTAAAACAGACCCAAACACCCCATTTTATGGTGCCAAAATAGGCTCCAACGAATCAAAACATTTAATGGGTGATTGGCACAATTTGTGGGATTTGATTAAAAATGGATCTGCTGAAAATCCTCTAGACAGCGTTGTCCATGGCTTGGACATCGCTGTTCTAGGCTTGGTTTTTGAAAAATGGGAAGCAACGGTCATCCCAATAGCGATGTTCAAAACCCCTACATCGTTGTTTTGGCTGTTGACTTCCAAACAAGGAAAGTTTAAGCCATAAATTCCTTCCAACGGTCAGGTGCCTACATCGATGTTCATCACTGGAACATCGCTGTTCAGGCCTGACTTTGAAGGTTGAGGAAACTAGCATGACATCGCTGTTGCTCGGTTAACAGCGTTGTCTAAAAACTTTCTCCCAATGTATTTATTTTTGGCTTGGGTTAGACAGCGATGTGGGGTAGGCTACATCGCTGTTCTAGATGTTTCTAGAAACCCAACCTTGGCTCAACAGCGATGTCCAAACACCAACATCGCTGTTGGAAGACTTAACGCCAAAGCATGGTTTTCAGCTACCCATGCCAGACAGCGATGTTGGTTACTCCAACATCGCTGTTAGGCTGGTTTAGCCAGACCCATGGTTGGTTTAGTCGCCGTTAGCCGATGTCAAAAATGTAAGTTCTCCAAAAATAAAAACCAAGTATTGAAAATGTTTGTTTAATGCATTTTGATAGGAATTTAAGTAGAACATCTTAAAAACTACGTCATTTAGATAAAAACCACGGCTAGCCATGTTAACGCTGTTTTGCATGGTTTTCACTAAATGACAAAAAAGGAAAGGCGGGTTTTGAAGCGTTTTTGTTGGAGAACTATTTAAATATGCCCAGAAGTAAAAACCAATCATAAAATGTTGATAACCACTTGGTTGGTTCAGACGCCAAAACCCAATAATGATAACTGAAAGCCGAACACCGGTTTCTGAAAACCAAACGCCGGATGGTTTGGTTTTTGGTTTGGGCGAACTCAAAGTGTTTTTAGGCATGTTTAAAACTTATGAAAAACATTTTTGAATATGCAAAAATTATTTTAGTGAAGCGAGCCTAGAGAGCCAAGTTTTGAAGTTTGTGCCGGTCTTGATCACATTAAGACCGACTCAATAAATTCTAAGTCTTCGTTCTTGGTTCTCGATTCTCAATTCATCATGCCATGTTCCTTCGCCTTGGTTTTGCTCAGTTTAACCTTGTTATTGTCATGGCGGTTTGGCATTATCAAAACCTGTTATAAAACGAACACGGTTTAGTACGACATAGGCGTAAACCAGTGTTCCAACAATTTTCCCCTTTTTGATAATGGCAAACAAGACGGGGATATGCATACTAAGGGATATTTGATTTTAAAAAAATGTGTGAAAAATTTCTCCCTTAATTTGTTCTTGAAAAAGTTAGTTATATTAAAATCAAACGATCCCGTTTTTAGAGACGTTCCCCCTTAGTATATGCATAGCCCTTTTCTTCCCCCTATTGAGATTAACAAAAAGATTAAACATAACTTTTATTTATTGAAAATGGGAAATAGTGGAGTACAACGGAAGCATTAAAAAAACATCATAATTAAAAGAGAAGAGATAGAAATTCTAGGGTCGTCCTAGTCTTCGTCTTCGGTTTCCTCGTCGTCGTCTTCGACGTCCATCTCATCACTGTCAATGGAGTCGTTGAACTCATCCTCGTCCGGGGAGCTTGACGGTGCGTAGGAGGCATCCTCTTCGTCCTCGTCATCATACACTTCCCCAAAGAACGTGCCATGGTATGGTGGGGGGACGTAGTTAACGCGTTGGAAGTACGCGTTCATGGCGTTCCCTTGGCATTGGACAGCCTCGTCGAGCCGCTCAAGGTAGCCATCCATCCCGTCAACTTTGAAGTGAAGCCGATTCAGGAAGTCGGCGATGGAGGAAAGGTTGGCCCGGGCCTAGGGTTCTGCTGGGCCAGCGGCAGTGGCAATGCGGCGTGGTGCGACAGTGGCAGGCACGGCGTTGTTCGACCGCTTGGTGAAGGTTTGGGCGCTGATCGTCCAAAGCTTCGTGGCCTTAGTGAGCGGGCCAACAATGGTGGTTACCTTAAACCGTTCAAGGATGTCCATCAGAAAGAACGGATACGGGAGGAAGTGATCGTGGGTGGTAGACGCGGCGATCTTCATGTTGATCATGACAAACTTCGCCCAATTGATCGGGGCCGAGTGCATGATCGCGTGTAGGAGCTTGAGATCCTCGCCAGACATTATCGTGTGCCCGTTGGTGGTCCTAAAGTGGTGAGATACAAAGTCTAGAGGGGGGTGAATAGACTTTGTTTCAATTTAAAAACTTTTTCGTTTCTTTTGAAAACGTGAAAATGAGTGTTAATCTAGAGTTCTTGTGAACCTTAGATTGTGTGCGGAAGTTGGTGGGTAAATAGAGGAGTAATCAATATGGATGGGTTAGTTTCACAGTTAATATAATTGCAAGTATGAGTAAAGATAAAAGAGAGAGACACACAAACTTTAACGAGGTTCGAAGGTGGGGTAATCCTTCTACGTCCTCAAAACAATTACACTTGTGTGAATTTTTGCACGGTATATCTTCGCAAGGCCAATGTTGCTACTGCACTCATGCTGGCTTTGTTGTTCCTTCGAAGGTCAAGCTTCTTCAACAACTGCAAGGTTCGAACAATAGGACTTGCAAGATCAACTTGTAGGAAAGTTGATCTACCCCCTTTTAAATCAAGAAGTTTGATTAAAAGATGTATCCTTCAACGTGGTGTGGTACTTGAGGCAAAGAAACCTTCAAGTGCTTACACTATAGCTCTTTGGAAGGAGGAGAAGTTTGCTTCTGGATAAGGAGTTTAGAAATCTCTCTTTATCAAGCTTTTTGGCTAACTATGAATGAGATAGATGTAGCTTGTTGTTGTTGTTGTAATCTTGCTTGCTATCTCATATATTTCATATCTCATATATTTCTCCAGTCTTCCAAGGAAGCTATATATAGCTGGATTGGATAATCTATCTGTTGAATCAAAATAGACTATCCGTTGCATTTGCTGGCTTCAGTTTGAATGAAGAGTGAGACATAGGATTCTTCATTGGAATGGGTGTTTGGACATACCCAATTGTTTGAAGAAGGATTCCTTTTTCACAGAATCCGTCCTTTAGTTTTTGTTCAAGAATTCAGGACTGTAGCTCTTTATTGAGTGGAGTACTCAGTTTGTCTTCTAGTGCTTGTTTAGGAATTCTGGGCGAGCTCTTCAATTTGAGAAGTTCAGACTTTGTCTTCAAGTCATTTGTTATTGAATCAGCTTAAATATCCTCAATCTAGCCGTTGAAAATCAAGAGATTGATTTTTCCTTACCAATGGATAGAATTTCTTCATTCAAGACTTAGATAATTTTCTAATTCTTTTTCTCACTTGTCTGCTTTTGAGAATTCTAGTCTTTCTTGAGGCATCCGGTTCTTCGCTGACAATTCCGGAAAAGTCATTCATAGACTTCCAGGTGAGAAAGAGATCCGCGCTAGTCTTCCGATCCGGATGACTTAGCCTTCAGCGGGTTGTTGCGAGACATCCGGTTATTGTAGAGTGTTCCGGATTTGAGGATCTTCAAAGTAATCAACTGCTTTGAGAATTCCTTACTTGTCTATGATATATCCGATCAAGAATTCCAATTTCCATATCACTGAATTTGATTAAGTCTTCAAAGATTGACATCAAACCATAGAGTGAAATATCACAACTTTATTCGAAATATCAAGAACTCGGTTTTAACAATATTTCTAAAAAGAGAAATTACATTGAATATTGGGGGTGACCTAAAGTCCCTATTACAATCTAAATACATCATCATCAAAATCTATAATATTTTTCCCAACAATTTCCCCCTTTTTGATGATGACAAACAAGTGTTTAAGAGTTCCGGTCGCTGTACTGAGAACTAATTTTATAACTTTCTTTTAGTTTCTCATAATATACAGCTTGTTAACAAAAACTCTTAAACAGATACAATTCAAATTACAACAGTTCCTAAACTAAGTCTTGAGTTTTATGATATTTCTGCTATTTGCTGCTTTCATTTCCCGCGGATGTTGCTTGGAAGTTCAGATGGCATTGTGTTTGATGGATCTCAATAGCCAAAGTGGATATTTGAGATCTAGGAAGCAACATCTCTCCAAAAAGCAAAAACAAAAACAAAAAGAGATGAGGGAAAGGAGGAGCTGGTGAAAGGAAAGAAAAAGACAGAAGGACAAGAAAAGGTTTTGGGAAAGAGAAAAGATTGTGAACAGGGAAATAAAAGAAGGGTTTTTAAAGATGAAAGGAATAAAAAAATTTAAAAGAGTTTTAAAAAGAATGGTGACTAGGGAAGAAAAAGTTTTGAAAAATAGAATAGGAGAAGGGGAAAGAAAACTAGAAAGTTGGAAACCAGAAGAAAATTGTAGACAAGCCAGTGAAGAGAGAGAGGCCTGCCTAACCGCTATAAGACAAAGAAAGATTTGCCTTATTTCTGCAATTGAAAAGAAAATTTGAAAAAGAGTTTGAAAAGAGGTACGGAAAGGGGAAGAGGGAGGAGAAGCGGAGACCTCAAATCAATTTTTAAAAATAAAAGAAAAGAAAGAGAGAAGGGAAGAGTGTTGAGAAGAGAAAAACAAGAATAAGAAAATTTTAAAAATAAAATTTCAAGAGCAAAAAATAGAAAAGGAAAAAGAATATTTTTAAAAGAGAATTAGAAGAAACGAAAATGGAGAGAGTGTTGTTCCAGAGAAGATATGTGGCGAGATGCAAAAATATGCGAGATTCCCACCAAATATCTAATTGGAACAGTTTCAACACATTGGTAACCAGTAAAAGATTCTGTCAATTTCGTTTGGTTTGAAAAACGTAACTGTTCTGGTTTGGCTAAGCCCAAAAGAATGGCCAAAAAAAATCTATGTACTAAAGGAAAATTATTCCTATTGGGTTCTCAAGGCCCAAAATAAAGCTATCATTTTTTATTCCCTATAATTCTAAAGCTATCATTTTTCATTCCCTGTACATTATAAAAATCCTAAGGACGAGTACTTTAGAGCAAAGTTGGAAATGAACTAAGGATTGAAACTAAGTTTAGGAGGGCAGATATTGTAGAATACCTGAATCAGAGATCTCCAACTCTGGTACAAAAATTGAGGTATCCATCTTCCATAGCTTTAGAGTTCATCAGTAGTTCATTACCAAAAACAATTATTAGCCAAAAACAGTTAAGTTCCCCCTGAATTACATTCCCCCTGAATGTATGCGCTCAATAATAGATCTCAAAAATCATACTTAAAAGAAATATGTTCAAGCATAATTAAGAGATGTATTAATCAATGTTTAAACCTAAAACTCATGTTCAAGAAGGTATTTTCATCAAAACATAAATAATGTTTTCAATACTTCCCCCTATTTTGATGAAAAGAGCCTTCACTTCTTCTTGCTCTTGGATGATCCGGCAACCTCACCAATGCCTTGCATAACTCCACACTCTTCCTGGATGCGCTCGAGATTGTTATATCTCTCTTCTGTCTGGGCATCATTTGTGAAGTGGGAGGCAATGGTTCCTACAGCTTCTGTTCCATCAAACTCAGTGTTTGACAGATGCTGGATTGAGTTCTCCGGATTGCTCTGCTGGGCTTCAAGTATCAGCTCCGTCATGTTCAGATGTGAAGGAATGTATGAGAGTTCTCCTTGTTTAACATCAATTGGAAACTTTGTAATTTGAGATGGACTTCTGGGTTGGACAATCACTTCCAGCTTGTGTTTCCCAGTGTAGGTGCCAAAGTGCCTTCTTGAGTTAGCACCTGGTTTGCTGATGACACTGCCAAGGCTGACCTGATATCCATCTGAAGGAGTGACATCTGCTTCTGAAGGTTGACTTTGACTATGGCAATCTGCTGCTTGATTGCAGTGGCTTCTTTGAATTGAAGATGGCAGTCACATGCATAAGCCATCATTGTATTGCTCACAGACTTACTCCCTCCGTCCTAAAACATTCTTCCCAGTTTGAATTTTCTCCATTTTTAACTTTTGGCTTTGACTTCAAATTTTACCCTCCTTAAAAAAGATTTTTTGAATTTTTTTTTTACAATCATTCAAAATATAGAGTTAGAAGATAATTGGTGTAAATACATGAGGGTATTAATGTCATTTGTCATCTTTTTTTCTAATGGGAAGGTAGTTTTAGGACGGAGAAAAAGGGGAAGTGGGAAGAAAGTTTTAGGACGGAGGGAGTACTAAATAGTGAATTGATCTCTAGAGTTTTGTCTACAGATTTACTTATCTCGTTGAGATTTGAGCAATACTTTTTTTTCAGATTTTTCCATCATTTAGTTGTGCCTTGTTTCCATCTGCTCTATCTCTTGCCTAAAAGAGGCATGCTGAGACTTCAGGGCTGATTCAATCAACCCTTGGACCTTCCTTGTCCAGGTTTCCGGTATGTCATCTGGAAGAGTGGTTGCAGAAGAGCTGTGAAAGTAAAAATTTGTTACCTGATTTGAAGAAGGTAATCTATGGAAGAGTTGTAGAGGGAGGGATTCAGCATCTTCTCCTTACTCAGAGTCTTCTTCATCAATCTTCAGGGTCTTCACTGACTCTTCCTCTGTTTCTTCATTTGCATAATTTGAGATTTCCCTAGAGAGGGAATCTCTGACTTCATCTGCAGCTTGCTGCTCAAAGATAGCTACTGGAGGTTCAAAGGCCTCCATCCTAGCTATTTGAGCTCCTTCTTCAGCTTCTTTAAAGCTTCTCAGGACTTCAACTACTTGTTCTTCAAGAGCTTCTTCCTCTGTAGTTTCTGGAAGAGGTGACTTTTCCAGATTCTCTGTTGACTTCTCCGGAACTTTAGGTTCAGTTGGTTTGGAGATCTCACAAGAGGTTGTGAGGATCTCTTGAACTTGAGATTGGAGGAGTTGCTGAAGTTCTTCTTCTGATGTTTCCTGGTTCTGTTCTTGCTGGGGAGTAGCTGCATTCTCCTGGAAAGCTTCAGGCAGAACAGTTTAAAAAGCAGGGGAGGTTTCCGGAAAAACTTGGAAATCCTCTGCTGTGGCTTCCATGTCAGCTTGTGCTTGTTAAGAACATTTTGTTCTTATCATTTTTATCATATTTTAGCATTATTGCACGTAAATAGTATTTAAGCGTTTCATTAATTGTGCATTTCATGGATAAAAATGCTTTAATTTGTTTTACTAGTCATAAAAAGGGTCTTTAAGGAAAATCGATTCAAATCTACCATTTCATGACTAATTATGTGAGAAAAGGGTAAAATTATCAACTCCTGGTCAAAGATGGACTCCTCCTAGTTCAAAATTCGCACAATAGGCCAAAAAGGAACGAAATGGGGCCCAATTGGACCCCAATCCGCATAGGTCACGGAAGACCATTCGGACGCTTCAGGTTTCGTCTTCCCCAAGATTGCCACGCGTCGCCACCAAAATGGATCAGGAGCCGAGGCGTCCGCAGCCAGACGCCTCGGGGGACGCTTGGGGCTGGGAAGCCCGGGCTCCTATTATTATAAATATAGACCCTACCCTGTCACGAACCATGATCACATCAGCAGCAGCTTTCTCCCTTTCTCGGGTTTTACACCCCTTTTTATAGTTTTTTCATATTTTAGTAGTTTAGGAATATTTTTTGGGGTACTCTGGAGCATTTTTTGCCCAGACCTCTTTCCAAGATTTTGTGCTATCATTCTGCTTGTCCGGAAACGGTAAGTAGATCTCTTTTAGTATTATGCCGTTATTTTAGTTCATTATTTCCATAGTATGAGTTAGTGTTCGGACCCCTAGGGTCCGGGCTAGTTTGTGGTTATGCTTTTTATTACTGAATTAATGCTGGAATTTTTATTCTGAATTTGCTCTTGCCTTAATTAGTTAATTAATATATAAATATTTAATTAACTTTTTATTGAGAAAATATTTTACGCTGAAAGGCTAAATTATTCAAGATCTTTTTAGGGTAATCAAGAATCTAGAAATAGATGAGAGGTAGTAGAAATAAAAATTTTTCCAATCATTAATTTAATTAATTTAAGTAAACCCAAATGATGTCCTGGCCCTAGATCCAATTCCTACTTGTACTATGTGAATAAATTTATTTTCTTGTATTTATTATTTCTTTTTCCCCTTTTATTTTCGCATCGAAAAGACTTCTAAAACCAATCCAAATCTTCGCCTAACTAGAGAAGTTGAATTAATTCTCTTCGTCCACTCCTCTAGAGAACGACAACTCGGGGATAAAACTAACCCTTTATTGGGAAGGTTTATACTCCAAAAAAAACTACTCGACCAGTGCTTCAGTGGTGAGGACAGTCTGATCTTCAATTGGCTTTGAGAGGATTGGTTTGTAGACTGCCGGGTCCTCATCATCAACTTCAAACTCTGAAGTTGGAGAGGTGGCCAAGTATTCCAAATGCAGATCTTCATAGGTTTTCTGCCAGACCCATTCATCATCCAGAATTTGCTCACAATAGTAGTTGATTGGTAATCCCAAACTTCTCTTGATGATCTTCTCATTTTTCAGTTGTTGATCCCATTCAAGCAACTAATCTGCAGAGTTTCCAACCTTCCAAGCTCTCCAATCATAGTAGAGCTGCATGAATTTGCTCACTTCATCATCAGTTTGAGCTTGTGATGAAGGGGATGGAAAACTCTGGTTTTGAGGAATTTCTTCATCAAGTTGTTGAGGACTCTGCTTGAGTGTAAAGACTTCCTCAATTTGTTCCTTCTCCACCAAGTTATCCTAATTGGCATTTCCAGATGTAGAGGGAGAGGAGACTCTTCTTTTCTTCTTCTTCTGAAGTTCTCCTTGTGCAGAAACTTCATCTTCTTCATCCAAATTTACCACTGCAAGGTTGTGTGGTGCCTCAGCACTGGGGGAGGGAGACACCACTTGCTTCCTTTTTAAGGACTTCTTCAGACTTACAATTAGGACATTGTCTGAAGAGCCTTCATCTTCTGCAGTTGAACAAGCTCTGTTTTCTTCTTTAGAAGACAGATAGTAGAGCCAATATCTGGCATCATACTTCTTGCCTTTAGAGGCAACACCCAAGGATTCCAAAATGTACCCAAGGTACAATCCTTGACAGAGATATTTCTACTTGGGCTTCCCTAAATGCTTTGAAACAGAGTTGAAGAAGTGTTTGGTCCAATTTACCTTGGTTTTGGTAATGAGGGCGTTGATGATGAATGCCCTTTCTTGAGTTATGTCATCTGCATGTCCTCCACTGCCACATTCAAGACATGCAATGACCAGTTCCAAGACTAGTTTGTAGTCGTTCTTCAGATCGGCCTTCTTTGCTGGGCTAGAGGGGATTTGTCAAAAAATCCCAATTGTATTCTAGTCCAGATTCTTAGACAGTAGCTTCCCAATATCGATTCTTGAGTTGGGAAGATGGAGCTTTTTCTTCATTTTCTTCTGAGAAATCTTCACCTTGGTGCCTCCAAGAGTGGACTCAATTACTGAAATAGTCCTTTGTGGATTCTTCTTGGATTGAACAGTTGTGACTTTTCAATTCTTGTAGAATTCAAGAACTTCATCTTCATACTTGGAGCGAATCTCCATATGAAGGAATTCGGAGAGTTCCTGTGCATCAATCATCTCCAGATAAGTTTGATAGAACGCTGGTGAAGAACATTTGGCTTCTAATTTTTGGAAATGAACATTTGCGCAAACAACCTTCATTTTCTCTGAATTTTCCGAAGCAAAATTGAAGAATTTAGGGTTCTTCTGAGATTTCTCGTGAGGAAGAAGACGAAGATTTGAGTGGGCTGAGTGGGCAGTTGAGATCTGAATATAGTGGCGATTGGGTTTAATTTTGGGCGATTTATGCGGCTAGTGGCGATTGGGTTTTCAACTGTTCCCAAGGCCACGTGCCTACCCATTACTTTATCAGACGTGGTAAGTGGACTTCCACGTGTACCGCACTCAGTCTAATTGAACTAGACCAATTTTGTGAAGCAAATCGGAAAACTTGGCTTCACTTAGTGGTTTTGTGAAGATATCCGCCAGTTGTTTTTCAGTTGAGATGTACTCAATTTTGATATCCTTCTTTTCCACATGATCTCTGATGAATTGATGCTTGACATCAATGTGCTTAGTGCGAGAGTGATGCACTGAATTTTGTGAGATGGCTATAGCACTTTGATTGTCACAAAATATTGTCACTTCCTTTGTTTTTTAGTCCATAATCCAGTAGTTGTTGCTTTAACCACAAGATTTGAGCACAACAACTACTAGTAGCAATGTACTCTACTTCTGCTGTAGATGTAGAGATGGAGTTTTGTTTCTTACTAAACCAAGAAACAAGATTTCCGCCAATAAATTGACAAGTACCAGATGTACTCTTCCAGTCAACTTTGCATCCGGCAAAGTCAGAATTTGAGTATCCCACTAACTCAAATGAGCTGCTCTTAGCATACCATAAACCCATATTCTGAGTTCCTTTGAGGTATCTAAGAATCATTTTGGCCGCAATTAAATTACTTTCCTTTGGCTTTGATTGGAATCTAGCACAAACACCTACTGCATATGAGATATCCGGACGGCTTGCAGTAAGATAGAGTAGAGATCCAACTATTCCTCTGTAGAGAGTTTGGTCAACATCCTTTCCATCTACATCCATGTCAAGCTTGGTGGATGTACTCATGGGGACAGATCGGATGACTTCTGATCAACTTTGAACTTTTTGATAAGATCTCTTGTGTACTTGATTTGGTTGATGAGAGTCCCTTCACTTCTCTGCTTGATTTGAAGACCAAGGAAGTACTTGAGTTCCCCCATCATGCTCATTTCAAATTTTCCTTGCATGAGGGTGGAGAACTTGGTGCAAAGAGCTTCCTTAGTTGAGCCAAATATGATATTGTCCACATAGATTTGGACCAATAGGAGATCTTCTCCATCTTGAAGTTTGAACAAGGTCTTGTCAATGACTCCTTTGATGAATCCATTGTCTATTAGGAATTGAGACAATGTATCATACCAAGCTCTTGGTGCTTGTTTGAGTCCATACAATGCCTTTTTGAGTCTATACATTTGATCACCTTTAGTGTGTAACTCAAATCCTGGAGGTTGTTCCACATAAACTTCTTCCTCTAGGTTTCCGTTGAGAAATGCGCTTTTGACATCGATTTGATAGACTTTGAAGTCCTAATGAGCAGCAAAGGCTAGAAACAGCCTTATAGCTTCAAGTCTAGCAACTGGAGCAAAGGTTTCATAAAAATCTATACCTTCTTCTTGACAATAACCTTTGGCAACCAATCGGGATTTGTTTCTGACAACAACGCCATTTTCATCCATCTTGTTCCGGAAGACCAACTTTTTCCCAATGACATGTTGATGAGTAGGTCTTGGAACAAGTTTCCAGACGTCATTTCTGGTGAATTGGTTGAGTTCTTCTTGCATTGCATTGATCCAATCAGAATCAGCTAGAGCTTCTTCAATGCTCTTTGGTTCCACTTGTGAAATGAAACAAGCAAGCATGGCTTCAAGATTCTGTTGAGCACTCCTTGTGCGAATGCCTGATTGAATATCTCCAATAACTTTTTGAGGAGGGTGATCCCTTAACCAACGAAGATTGTGTTGATTAGGATTGACTGGCTGATCTAGTTCAGCTTCTGGTTGAAGAACAGAGTTTTTTGGTGTTTCCGGATGGATTGGCATTTGATCGCCACTTCCGGAATTGTCGCCATGTGAGTGATCTGGGATGTTGGAAGGCTGGCCATGATTTCCGATAGGCTCAGCACTATCCGGATTTCTTTGTGAAGTCTTCTGTGGTAGACTTCCGAATGGAATGAACTCTGTAGGCTTCATTCTATCTTCTTCATTGACTTCTTCATCTTTGTCTGAGAGATCTAGAACCTCATGATCAGGCTTTGATGGCTTGTCAACCACGTGTTTTTCATCAAAGATAACATGTATTGACTCTTCAGTGATCAAGGTTTTTTTGTTGAAGACTCTTAATGCCTTGCTCACCATAGAATATCCAAGGAAGATGGCTTCACCTGATTTCTCATCAAAAGTGTTGAGATGATTCTTCCCATTGTTTAACATAAAACACTTGCTCCCGAAAATATGGAAGTATGATATATTAGGCTTTCTCCCATTCCATAGTTCGTAAGGAGTTTTGTTGTGCCTTTTATAAATCATACTCCTATTTTGAGTATAGCAAGCTGTGTTTACAGCTTCAGCCCAGAACCTCTTTGGCAAGAAAGATTCTGCTAGCATGGTTCTTACTGCTTCTTTCAAGGTTCTGTTCCTTCTTTCAGCTACACCATTCTGTTGAGGTGTCTTTGCTACGGATGTCTGATGAAGAATTCTGTTTTCTTCACAATAATGAATGATAATTTCATTCAGGAATTCTGTGCCTTTGTCAGATCTGATCTTCTAGATGGTCTGACTTGCTTGGTTTTGAATCAACTTCATGCAGTTTGTGAGTTTCCCTTGAGTTTCCTTCTTGCTGTTGAGAAAGATTGTCCATGTGTATCTTGAATAGTCATCAACTACTACTAAGACATATTTCTTTCCACTTAGACTTATTGGAGTAACAGGTCCAAATAAGTCCATGTGAATAAGACTTAGTATCCTTGTAGTTGAGTGTGCCGGTTTTGCCTTGAAAGTAGACTTGACTTGCTTTCCTTTCTGACAAGCATCACAAATGCTTTCCTTCTTGTACACAGCTTTGGGAAGACATTCTACTAACCCTTCTTTGGATAGCTTGTTTAGGGTTTTGAAGTTGAGATGACTCAACCTCTTATGCCAAAGCCATAGAAGGTTAGTGTCACCTTTGCTGATTAGGCATGCTTCCTTGACATCGTCCCACATTACTTCGTAGATGTTTCTGATTCTCTTCCCTGTGAGAATGACTTCATTTGTGGAGATGTTCTTGAGGGATGCCATGTCCTTGCAGAATTCCAGAGAATAACCCTTATCACAGAACTGACTTATACTAAGAAGGTTATAGTTGAGACCTTCCACATAAGATACAGTCTGGATGGTTAGTCCCTTGTACACCAGATTTCCTAGCCTGTTTGTAAGGCCAAAATCATTGCTTCCTCCAAAAGTAACTCTTGGACCATCATAGGGAATTAGATTGCTCAAAAGGCTCGCATCACCCGTCATGTGTCTTGAGCAGCCACACTGTCTAAGTACCAGACACCTGGGTACTTAGTTGCTTCCTGCATTAGGAGGAGAAAGATTTTGGTACCCAATTTAGTTTGGGTCCGGAATAGTTAATGGGGTGTGTCCCCAAATCAAGTTTGAAGTTGCAGGGAATTTTCCTTGCAGCTCTAAACTTGTTGGGATTATAGTCATAATTGTAGGCATAGAACTTCCTACGTGCAGGTGGTGCAATTTCTTGTTTCCTCCTAGCAAACCTAGGTTGATAAGACCTATAGTTTTGTCTAGGTTGTGCATAGTGTGACCTGTGACGGTTGTAAGCATACTTAGGTGGAACGAATAGTTTCTGGGGTGGAGGATGACTATATCTTGGCATAGTTCTCCACTCAGGATTTCTCGGAAAACTCCTATATACCCCATAATGAGTATAACCTCGTGTATAGTGGGGGTTAGAAGGTTTTCTTCTGAAATTGTTTCCTCTTTGAGGTGTGTCCAGCTTCCTATAGGTTTTAGGAGGGACTACCTTTTTGGGAACTTCTCTAGGTTTCTCCTTCTCCTTACCTTTCTGCTTATTGGGTATGGTAGTAGGTTTGGGAGGAATAAAAGTTGTTCTCCCTTTCCTTTTGGAACTGGAGGGGTCAAACCCAAGTCCTTCACGACCCATATGTTTGGTCGTTTCAAGAAGCTTATCCACTGCTTCTTTGGACTTCAGTATCCCTAGCTCCTTGTTGAGGGATTTCACCTTTTCAGAAAGAGACTCATTCTCAGCCTTGAGTTGAGTGATCTCACTTAGTTGACTTTTCCAACCTTCAGTCAACTTGAGATTCTCTTCACTCAATAGCTTGTTCTCCTCTGTTAAGGATGAATGTTTAAGATTTATTTCCTCAAAATCTTCCATCATCTTTTTGAACTTGTCAAAAAGATTTTCAGAAGTTGGTATGCTTTCATAAGAAGATGAACACGAGGTTTGTGAAGTTACCTCTTGATCAGCGTCATCTTTGGCCATAGGCAAAGAGTGTCATCGTCTGACATAGTCCACCGATCTTCATGGTTGGACTTCTCAGCTCTGCGCTCCATGCAGACGAGGGCTTCTTCATCCGAGCTTGAGCTGGATCACTCTCAACTGCTACCATTGCCTTCTTCTTCTTCTCGTTCCTTTCTCTTTCTCCGTACTTCTCCACTTTTGGGTACGGGCATGCTGACTTCCAGTGGCCATGCTTCCTGCAGTTATAACACAAATAAGATTCAGGAGGGGAGTCACTTACCTCTGGCTTTCTCTTGGATGGCCTTCTGACTGAGTCAGCTTTCTTGAAGAACTTCTTGAACTTCTGGAATTGCTTGACCATCATGGCAAATTCCTCATCGTAGTTCTCCGTTTTTGAGCTTGGTGGCTAACTGGATGAAGGAGTGTCACAGTTCCTTGGGCATGTCCCTTTGCTTGCTGGGACTCTGGGAGTTGTCCTCAGTGCCGTGGGGAAAGGAGTGACTTGTTCTTCCTTCTTCTTCTTCAGCTCGTGCTCATAGGTTCTGAGTTCATCTAGGAGACCTTGAACAGTGTAGTTCTCCAGATTTCTTCCTTCTTGGTGGACCCAAAGTGGTGAGATACAAAGTCTAGAGGGGAGGTGAATAGACTTTGTTACAAATTTAGAACTTTTTTGTTTCTTTTGAAAACGTAAAAATGAGTGTTAATCTAGAGTTCTTGTGAACCTTAGATTGTGTGCGGAAGTTGGTGGTTTAGTTGAGCAGTAATCAATATGGATGGATAGTTTTCACAGTTATTATAATTGCTAGTATAAGTAAAGATAAAAGAGAGAGACACGCAAACTTTAACGAGGTTCGAAGGTGGGGTAATCCTTCTACGTCCTCAAAATCCACTATGTAGTTGGTTGTTGAACAATGAACCAACAATTACACTTGTGTGAATTTCTGCACGGTATATCTTCGCAAGGCCAATATTGCTATTGCACTCGTGCTGGCTTTGTTGTTCCTCCGAAGGTCACGCTTCTTCAACAACTGCAAGATCCGAACAATAGGACTTGCAGGATCAACTTGTAAGAAAGTTGATCTACCCCCTTTTAATCAAGAAGTTTGATTAAAAGTTATATCCTTCAACGTGGTGTGGTACTTGAGGCAAGGAAACCTTCAAGTGTTTTCACTATAGCTCTTTGGAAGGAGGAGAAGTTTGCTTCTGGATAAGGAGTTTAGAAATCTCTCTTGATCAATCTTTTTGGCTAACTGTGAATGAAATAGCTTTGTTGTTTTCGTTTCACTTCATATATTTCTCCAGTCTTCCAAGGATGCTATTTATAGCTGGATTGGGTAATATATCCGTTGAATCAAAATAGACTATCCGTTGCATTTGCTGGCTTCAATTTCGAATGAAGATTGATTGAGGATTCCTCATTGGAATGGGTGTTTGGACATACCCAATTGTTTGAGGAGGAATTCCTTTTTCCACAGAATCTGTCTTCTAGCTTTTGTTCAAGAATTCTGGACTCTAGCCCTTTACTCAGTTTGTCTTCTAGTGCGTGTTTAGGAATTCTAGACGAGCTCTTTAATTTGAGAGGTCCAGACTTTGTCTTCAAGTTATTCGTTCTTGAATCAGCTTAATTATCTTCAATCTAGCCGTTGAAAATAAAGAGATTGATTTTTCCTTACCAACGGGCAGAATTTCTTCATTCAAGACTTAGATAATTTTCTAAGTCTTTTCTCACTTGTCCGCTTCTGAGAGTTCCGGTCTTTCTTGAGGCATCTGGTTCTTTTGTTGACAAATCCGGAAGAGTCATTCATAGACTTCCAGGTGAGAAGGAGATCCTGTAACACCCCAAAATATACCCTAAAATTTATTGAATTAAATATTCAAATTAATCAAATTTATTTTGATTAAAATAAATTGTTGTTGGGCTTTGGGCCGAAATAAAATATATATTGATGTCCAATAAACATAATTGGGATAAATCTCTTAGAGATAAATCGAACATGTTGACTTATTGTGTGATCTTGATTGGGAACCTGAGTACAGACCCAAATTAAGAATAAATGAAGAGATTGTTTATTATATGAACTTTGAAATGATTTATTGAAATAAATCATATAAATAAATAATATGAATTAAATGTGAGAACCTTTTTGAATAAAGGTCAATTAAACCAATTTTGACTCTGTCAAAGTCAACCACCCAAAAATATGATGTCGGAAAAAGTATAGCGAATAAATGTAAAAGTTATATCATTAGATAGAGTTTAATTGTACGATCGCAACGGTGCAAACGGATTTCAATTCGGAGAAAGTTAGAACAAAAAGTGTACCCCGACTGGAAACAAAATTGGTCCCAATCAGGGAACGGCGTGTAGATCAATTAGAATCGCCGTCCTGCGCACTAAGGAAATTCTACGTAAGTATCGCTTGACTTCTTCCCAGCACTCTGCTATATAAGAACACCTTGCATTCTCAATTCATCACCAATCCTTCCCTTTCTCCCTTCCATTCTATTCCTTGTTGAGAGAGGAACACTGTTGTGCTGCCAATTTGGTGAGAAGTCGCCGGAGCAAGCTGTGGTGATCACCGGAAGTTTCGCCGTCCAATCGCCGGAATCATCGTTGAGCTTCGAGGTAAGCCCGTTGATATATCTAATGACTAGAATGTTCATATAGATCGTTTCTACGTGCATAAATGGTCATTTGGTTGAGTTTTGTGTTTGACATGTTTGAAAAACTAAGAATCATAAACCTTGAATTTGATGTTAAAACTATGAATTAATGATACCAAAATGATCTATGAACCTTGGAGAACATTTCTATATAGTTTAATTGAAGTTTGGTAGCTCAAAATGATATTCACGAAGCTTGAACCGAGGTTGAAGACGAAGTACTGTTCCTGATTCGAATGCAGCACACAGTAGCGGTAATGCACTACCGTGCGACGGTAATGCACTGCCGTGCAACGGTAATGCACTACCGTGAAACGGTAGGATGGTACCGCCACAGGCCATTTTAACCTGTCCAAAATCTTCATGTTCGGAAATTAACTCAAAAAAAAATGCTATCATGATATTTTTCCACTCCAAGACAGAAATGAAATCATTTTAAAGTAAATATAATATTTTAATTAATCCTAATATGTTATGTGATGCATGACAGTAAGTTCGGGTGTTAACACTCGAGACTAGGCCGCTAATTGTTATTGAATATTATGTTGATTGATGATTATGGTAATGATTATTGATTGATGATTATGATGATTAAATCTTGATAAATGTTCTAATTAAAAATGGAAATTATGAATGATTAAATCATAATGAATATATTGATGTTTGTGAAAATAATATGTATTGTCNGTATGATGCCCGGTGGCTAGGGTTAAAACGTACGTACGGGATCCAAGAACCAAACTTGAGTACCTACTCGTTTGGGGGTACCACCCACCCAACAGTGAACACTACGCTGTCGGTTTTTGGTTGGCCTTAAGTGAAGGTAAGTTTAAGATTTCCAAAACCCTTTTATCTTAAACTAGGCCTAGCTTAAGGATTATTATGAGTACTCTGTATACTAGAATATAGTTTAATTAGTTAAACTAGAATTCATTTAAGGGTTGACAAATATTAAAGTTATTGGCCTTGGACTAAGAATAGTTTAAGGATATTGTTGGATGACAAATGATGAATATACATGTTGAATGATTGAATAATGAATGTTGAAAATCGAATACTGATTATTGAATATATGAACTGAACATTATGTGCATGATATCAAATGGTTGATTATGAATTGAGATTCAATTTATGTGGATGTTCGACGCATTAGATATGCTTACTCAGCTTTACCGCTGAGCGTGTAGTGTGTTTTATTTGCTACACGCAGGTCAATAGAATAATGTGACGTGATCCTGGAGGTAGACGGAGGCGAGATAGTCATAATGGATGTGATGGTTTTGAATTAAAGAATATAAATAAATTATGTTTGTGATTATTATTTGTTAAGCTTCCGCAATATTGAAAACTCTGTACTGTTTATGATATGAAAAATATTATTATGATAAATAAAAGTATTTGATAAGTTTTAAATTTTACGATTACCAAGTTAATACTTTAGTCCGAAAGGGGCTGCAGACCTGGACGGATTAGGGTGTTACAATTTGGTATCAGAGCAAATGGTTTTAAAACCGACCTTCAGATCAAAATTTGATTTAAAAAAAATGTTGGTCACATCCACGACTCTCGCATCCCTCTGCTCCAGGAAAGGTATGAGAATTTACTTAGTAAATATTGACTTGTTAAAATTCTCATTTACGAACAATTGTTAGTACTGAAATTATATCGAGCATAGACTCAAGTCGAATTTTCGTATTCGGTAAAGAAACGAAAGAATAAAAATGTATAAACCTCTGATACGTTATCAATGTACGCATCACATCGTGAATGACAAAGATGATCTGTACCAGAAAAGTCGCACGAAAGTGAGATGAACCTGAAGAACGATTCGTGTTGATATATGTTGAGAAACATCTGTGAAGCTGATGTCAAAGATCTTCATGTGCACTCAAGACGACCTAATCGCTGATTCAAACACGAACGTTTAAAATCAATAAACTGTGTTATCTAAAGTATCCGATACAATTGTTTGACTCATTAGGACACATTATGCAATTACTTAATGTGAATTGAAATCGTTTGTTAAGCGACAATTCTTTGTAAAACATCGTTGAGGTGCCATACAAGGAAAATCGACATTATCCTTAGTATGCATTAACTGACTGAACATCGTTACTGTTGTCAACTTGTGATGAAGAATTCCTCAACTGAAGACCAATGATGGTAACCCAATAGAGGTGAAAGCAAAGCCAATTTCAAAACCGACCAAGTTCATCTCGAATATATATGCAAAAATGCCTCAACCATAAGAAGCATGAAGTCTATTCTTGTGATACATGATAGAAAGATTTGAGCTGAAGAAACGCACCAAAGGTATGACACCTCTTTGATATGAACTTCCTAATATCTCATCGTTCCGAGAAATTGAATTCTCTGTCAATCTTGATCCCAGAAAGGACCCATATTCGTAACTCTGTATTGAATGTGTTTCCATCAATGACTTCCTGAAAAAGAATCATCTGATCAAGTGTTTCCTCCTAGGGAGAATACCTGTTTTGTTCATACGTGAATCAATAAGACTCTAGATCAACTACTGTCAGTTGAATAATTCGTTATCCTCTACCTCGTATCATGACTTATTTGATCAGCTTAGAGAATCCATTGTATTCTCTAAGATTGACTTACGGTCAGGATACTAAAAAAAATCCTTGTTAAGAAACTTGAACAAACTGACGATCGAGAATTGTTATCCTTTACTACGAACTGACAACTTGTTTGGTTAGATACAAAGAATCTGCTTGTTAAAAGCTATAGACAGCTCAACCTTGTTGAATGAACTGATGCCTTGTTATGAAGCGATTAATGACCTAATTACTTATCATCGGAAACGTCAATGTAATCTGATTGAATAAATGAAGTAAAGTGATGCTGACAAGACAAATCAATAAGATAGTTGACTCGTTCGGATATCCTATTGACGTGAAAGATCGCGACCGTGATGATGATACAAAACATGACGTGAAACAGTGACACCAACAATGAAGAAAATGTAGCTCACGCTGGCCATACAACGTTAAATAATAATTATGGATAATATTATTTCAACACAAGATACAACATGGATTACATGAGGAAATTTACAAATGCAATTCTAAATCTAATCCCCCGGGATTTGCGAACTCGTCATAATTAGCCCTAAAAGCCAGAAAAGCTTTAGCGAACTCTAGCTTGTCTAAAAGCTCACCAACAAAGAAAGAAGAAATGAAAAGTTTTCTCTGATTCAAAGCCATGAAATTCTGTCTCACAGCATCGTCTAGAAATTTGATTAGGTTATTAAAATAACCGTCAATGTTCAGGAGACCAATGGGTCTATTGTGTAACCCTTCAGAAGCCCACGAGATCAAGGTGAACAAACCTTCCATAGTGTCAACTCCTCTGGGAAGAATGATGAAAGCTTCCACGACATGATTCATCTCAAAATATTTGTAATAGTTGCTGGAAACTGTATGCTCTACACCGTACGTAGGTCCATAGACACGTCGTGTTGCTATGTACCCAGGAATAAAACCTCTAACAAGACCACAATTGGTAAAGACTGTTGAAGCAACAGCTCCTTGAAGGCCAACACTACCTCCTCCATAAGCAAGTTTAATTTTTCGCCTTACCAATTCTCGTCCTAAATCTACCGCTATAGCCATGAACCTTGGATCGTTACCAAGAGCATGACTACCAAGTAATCCAACGAATCTGATAGTGTGAGAAAGAGCTCGAGAAGTTCCTTCCATAATGTGAGAATGCGAGATACTCTTTCTATAATCGTGATATATATAGTCTCTGAAATCTGACCCTTGATGGAAACATAATTACTATCACCAGCCGAAATATGTACAATAAAATGGATTCAAATTACCTACAGACGAGAACGTACTCGCTAATACTATAGTCTGCTGACGACATGACATATTGAGACTCGTGAATAGTTAGGCTCGTTGTCTTGAAATACATTCAAATCCGAGACGAAAAGTCAAAATGACTATTTCCCTAAGATAATGACCCTTTGAGTAACTTCCAAAGAGTGAAATATTGAAGGATGAAAACCTACGATTAGTGAAGACGATTCGCAAACGCTATCTTTGTATCATGTGATTCATATCATTGAAATACTCAAACTTGTTGTGTTAACTACACCCTTGAAAATATCTCGCTTGATCAATCTTGAAAAGATTGAATTCCATTCTTTTTATCAAAATACTAAAACCATGATTCTTCATTGAAACCAAAACAATACTTGGTGATACCATGATATCGATCTTTGAAAACTATACCCTGTGGAATACGTGACTCGATCACAATAGTAAAACTACCCTGACTTAAACATTATGTTAAACCTCTCTTTGTGGACTACAAAATGATCAATACAATTACGCTATCTCCGAAGATTATTATCGATGATATTGTTATAATCCTAACAAGGAAATGTATGTGCGACAACCAAAGAAGAAGTGACGTCACAAAGAACAAGTTGAATCATTCAAGAGAAAATCTCGAACCTATAGGCGATATTGGTATAAGAACTAGTAAAGTTTCCTCACTCTATGAATTCATGAATTGAATTACGTACTGAAGATCTTCTCTTTCTCTCTTGAAACGAGATCAGCCTTAGTGCTACAATCGAATCTGTCGCTATCATATCTAGATATGTTTTCAAATTAATGAAAGAAATTTGAATACGACAAGTCGTACATGAGACGCTACTCGAACGTCATCATCTATGAATACGAAGACTCAGTAAACGATAATGAGAGCTACCATGAAGTAAATGAAGAAATGTTTCGATGTAAATCGATGATAACGAGCTACTGTACAACCAATCGACAGTACTTCCTCATAAATGGAGACCAATCCTATATTCCAAAAAGGTCATGAACCAATAAAAGACATTTGGTGTTACTTACGAATCATTGCAGAACTATGTGAATGATGTGAAGATGTTTTGATTGACTTGAAAGATTACGCTACAAGGTATGGATTGAAAACGAAATCCAAATCTCTCACTACAACTATCGCAAACTTGAAACTGCAAATGCTGCTGAAGGACTTTCAAAGAAAGAATGTTGATGACTAATGACGAACAATCGAGACTTGTGAATGAACGAAATATGCTCCAAAATACGATGTTATACCCTGCAAAGGAACCTAAGTTATGAATGTTGAATTTGAACAGGAACCCGCAAAAGGATTGTTGGATACCTTGCTTAAATCTAAAGATTTTAAACCCTTGAAGAAAGAATGATTTTTGATAACATCGACAATTTGAAGTTACGTATCTGTATGGATAATGATGTAATTATGGTTTAACCCACTGAACATGACACGGTCATGATTAAGTGAGATCACTACGAAATGTTGAACGTCGGACCTTAGAAGAATTTCGAGGACGAAATTTCTTTAAGGGGGGGAGAAATGTAACACCCCAAAATATACCCTAAAATTTATTGAATTAAATATTCAAATTAATCATATTTGTTTTGATTAAAATAAATTGTTGTTGGGCTTTGGGCCGAAATAAAATATATATTGATGTCCAATAAACATAATTGGGATAAATCTCTTAGAGATAAATCGAACATGTTGACTTATTGTGTGATCTTGATTGGGAACCTGAGTACAGACCCAAATTAAGAATAAATGAAGAGATTGTTTATTATATGAACTTTGAAATGATTTATTGAAATAAATCATAGAAATAAATAATATGAATTAAATGTGAGAACCTTTTTGAATAAAGGTCAATTAAACCAATTTTGACTCTGTCAAAGTCAACCACCCAAAAATATGATGTCGGAAAAAGTATAGCGAATAAATGTAAAAGTTATATCATTAGATAGAGTTTAATTGTACGATCGCAACGGTGCAAACGGATTTAAATTCGGAGAAAGTTAGAAAAAAAGTGTACCCCGACTGGAACCAAAATTGGTCCCAATCAGGGAACGGCGTGTAGATCAATTAGAATCGCCGTCCTGCGCACTAAGGAAATTCTACGTAAGTATCGCTTGGCTTCTTCCCCAGCACTCTGCTATATAAGAATACCTTGCATTCTCAATTCATCACCAATCCTTCCCTTTCTCCCTTCCATTCTATTCCTTGTTGAGAGAGGAACACTGTTGTGCTGCCAATTTGGTGAGAAGTCGCTGGAGCAAGCTGTGGTGATCACCAGAAGTTTCGCCGTCCAATTGCCGGAATCATCGTTGAGCTTCGAGGTAAGCCCGTTGATATATCTAATGACTAGAATGTTCATATAGATCGTTTCTACGTGCATAAATGGTCATTTGGTTGAGTTTTGTGTTTGACATGTTTGAAAAACTAAGAATCATAAACCTTGAATTTGATGTTAAAACTATGAATTAATGATACCAAAATGATCTATGAACCTTGGAGAACATTTCTATATAGTTTAATTGAAGTTTGGTAGCTCAAAATGATATTCACGAAGCTTGAACCGAGGTTGAAGACGAAGTACTGTTCCT